ACATTTATCACCAAGGTAAAAACATCCAGGAATATTTTTAGAGACTTGACCGAAAGCATTATCTTCAAGACACCAGAGTAAGGATGGGAATCATGTCTAATTTATCTTTCTCCAGTCCTGCCTTCTACCCTTGCAAGACTCTAGGGCAGGAATACTTAAGTGTGGGTTTTTTTGTTTTGTTTTTTTTTTTTTTGTCTTTTTGAAACAAGTTCTCATTATGCAGTTCAGGCTGGCCTTCAACTCACTTTGTAGCCCAGGCTGGTTCCAAACTCGAAGCAATCCTCCTGCCTCAGCTTCCCAAGTGCTGGGATTACAGGTGTGTGCCACCACGACTGTTAAGCGTGTTCTTGATTTTACCATTAATGATCCCTTAGCAAATGATTGTATTTTGCACATGGTGCAGCAGAAGGGGAGATGAACAGCGTGAATGAGAGGCTGGCCTTGAAGGCCAAGCTTTTCACAGAACAAACAAAACTACTGAAGATACCAGCAGCGTAAGGGTGTTCAGGAATTTATTCCCACTCCCTAAGCTGGGTATCTGGGACTAACGAAGTAAATGCTTCATTTATTACAACCCCCCAAAAATTATAATCTTAAAGATTTCCTAGCCGAGCATGGTGGCAGGTGCCTGTAATCCCAGCACTTGGGAGGCTGAGGCAGGAGGATTGTTGTGAGTTCGAGACCAGCCTGGGCCAGTCTGAACTGCATAGCCAGATCCTGTCTCAAAAGACAAAAAAAAAAAAAAAGATTTCCTATTACCCCTCAGCAACAAAAAGACATGAACTTAAAAACCGAATTACTGATATGAGTAACAACATGCATGAACTTCAAAATAATTACACTGAGTGAAAGAACCAGTCGGAGAACACCTTTTTATTTGGTTGCATTCATGTGAGACTCTAGAAAACCCACACTAACCCCTATCGACAGGAAGCAGATCTGGCTGCCTCAAAGCAGAGAAGCCAGAGAGGATTTGCTCAGGAGCCCGAGTGTGACTTCATCGAGGGTAATGCATACATACACTACCTTCATTATGAGGCTGGGTCACTGATTACAGTTACAGCAAAACTTACTGAACTTTCTACTTTAAACATCGCCTTTAAAACAACAGAATTCTGGAAAAAACAAGGGAGATTGGCAGAGAAGGAGGCAAAGAGAAAGGACAGTGTGTGTGTGTGTGTGTGTGTGTGTGTGTGTGGTAAATTCTAGGGCCTCTCTTGCAATTCTTTCCTGCTCAAGAACACCAGATGCTGTCTGACTGTGGGATTCTTTCCTCAGTACTCCCCTGCACTTCCAGTTGCCAGCGTTGTCTCCAGGCGTAGCCTTCCAGTCTCAGGTAAGGAGCCTGTGAGCCCTCCCTCAGCTGTGCCTTTCTTCCCTTGGACCTGGAATGCTGATTCTATTTCCCACCTCTGCCTGCATTTGCTGGGATGGTCCCTCTTAATGATCCAAATTTTCTCTCTCCTTCTAGGTCCAGTGAAAATAGGATTTATTTCACTGTCTTTCGTATCTATTTCTGCAGAAAAAAATCCTGTACCCCCTCAAGTTTTGCCACTATTTATTATCTAAATTGCTCTTTTGACTCCTGCTTGCTGCCTTGTGTGTTTGCTTTTCATGTGCGTATGTCTTCTAACTGGACTGTGAACTTCTTCAGGGCAGAGACTGGATCATATTTATCTCCTTGTCTTGCCCCAGGCACTTAATAAGTGTCAATGTAAAATACCTCAGTTTTATAGTCTTTCCAACACACTTTCTCAGCCATTATCTCATTTGATCATTACATCAACACTAGGAGGTTGGAGGAGCTAGAACTATGTTATTTCCTCCTTTTGACAGATAAGGGAACCTGAAGCCGGAGGTCCCATGGCTGGCAGAGAACAGAGCACTGCATGGGAAGGTCTGTCCAGCTCGAGGCTTCCCACTGCCGTCCCCGCCCCCTCCTCCTGCGGACAGGCGCCGAACCTTCACCTGCTCGTCCCCAGCACTTCACAGCCGTGTAGCCAGAGCTCTGCAGTCCCACGTTTGAGAGTTTGACAAGCTCTCCAGGTGAAATTTCAGTAGGTCTCTGATCAGCTCGGAGTCACCAAGCATGCTTGCTATTTCATTCCAAGTGCCGTTTGTGCCATTACGCCTGATATTTAATGACACCGAGAGACAGAACTGAAGAAGCATAAATGATTTTTAAAAGCCCTAGAAAATGACAGCACTCTAGTATTAACATGAAAGCTGGCAGCTGACAAGCTGACTGAGGTTATAGAATGTCTGCACTGAACCACACCATCTCCAGCACTAAAAAAGAAAAGAAATGAAATGAAATCCCGGTACCAAAAAATAAATAAATAAATAAAATAAAAAATAAACCACACCATCCCTCTTATATACTAGTACAATTCTCAGCCTGTGCTAAAGGAAAAGCTGAAATTCTCCATTTTCCAGCCTACCTCAACCTGAGAGTTCTTCCTCAGCATTCCAGGCTCTCAGTTTCTCTGATGCAAGAGATTTGATAGCCTTGTTGTAGTTTACTTAGCACTATTTTATTTACATAGGTCTTCTTATGTAGTTCAAACTGGCCTTGAACTCTCCATGTAGCCTAAGCTGGCCTTAAATTAAGGGTGATCTTGGGGCCAGGGATATAGCTCAGCAGCAGAAGCGTCTGCCTAGCAAGAGCAAGGTTCTGAGTTCGATCCCTAATACAAAAACAAAACAAAACAAAAAAAAACTAAGGGTGACCTTCCTGACTGAGCCTCCTGAGTGCTGGGATTACAGATGTGTCACCACACCTGGCCGAATATTTTTATTTTTGAGATGGAATCTCACCATCCTTCCTGGACTGGCTTTGGACTCACGATCCTCTTGTTTCAGCCTACCAAGCAGCTGGGATTACAGGCGCACCATTGCACCTGGCCAAACATATTTTTTAAAAACTAACTCATTTTCTGAGCAGATGCCAATCCACTTTCCAGAGAGGGAGCGTATTAAGATTAAAACACAGCCGGGCGTGGCGGCGCATGCCTGTAATCCCAGCACTCGGGAGGCTGAGGCAGGAGGATCTTTGTGAGGTCGAGACCAGCCTGGGCTACAAAGTGAGCTCAAGGCCAGCATGAGCTGCATATCAAGACCCTGTCTCAAAAAGACGAAAAAATAAAAAATTAAGACACAGGTGTCAGGCATGGTGGCACACCTTTGTGATCCCAGCACTCTTGGAGGCTGAGGCAGGAGGATTGCAGGTTCGAGTCCAGGAGTGATTTAGCAAATTTCATCTCAAAAAACAGAAAGGTCCGGGATGTAGCTCAGTGCAGATGCCTTGGGTTTAATTCCTAGCACCAAAGAGATGAAGAATGAGAGGTAAAGAGGGAAAGCAGCGGAGGTAATGAGAGTGAGTTCCCAGCCAGATGCTGTAAGAATTAAATGGGGCGAGACCAGGGAAGCAAAACGCTTGGCACAGTGCCTGACTTATTGTAGGCCCTCAATAAATGTGCGCAATTATTACCATTTCTCAACGTGAGCCCTTAACGAGGTGTGTGGAGTGGGGGAGAGGCACCAAGCAGGCGCACAGCGTAAGGAGAAGACCCCTTTGCAGCGGGGTGGAACTCCAGGTTCCCGTCGTTAGGGACCAGCGCGCGCCCGGCGAGGGGCGTGGCCTGGCCGCCCCGCCCCGCCCCGCC